TTTCGTGATTCAATTTGTAGAATCGATTTCGTTCTCAGATCGGATTTCAAAGACAAACTTTTGTAACACTGGCTTGAGTTGGCAAATGAGCCCTTCTTGAAAGTCGTCTATAAACTGTAACAGCATCAAATTCAGAAAGATCGGGCTATCCTTATGCCGAGCGAGCTTCTGTGCCAACCAAGGTACAAAGAACGGCAGCCCATTTAGACCGATGAGAAGTAGAAAAGCGAGTTTGTGAAAAAAAGACATCCAGGCTGACTGCCGCGCGCTGCCTCCTGGCTGGTTGACTTGTCAATGATGCCGTGTTTGATCTTTGGCGGCCGAGTGATTACTTCCCACACTTTTAATACGACGCGCAAGGTATCAACCGCGCAGGTCTACTGATGTTTTGCTGGGTGAAAGGTGGTGAAGGTGGTGCGCTGGAAGATCGCCCGGGTTGGGCCTTTTGTCTCGGATAGAATATGCGCGGCGGATAGAAGGGTGGAATGCTTTGCTTGTGCTAGGGGATTTGCTGCAGGTCGCTGCGCGGGCAAGCAATAGAGTAAGATGGCGGCCCTCAAATGACCGTGGGGCCATTCAAAGAGGCCCCGGTGCAGTTGGGCGATCCGCTCTCGGTGCCATCGCGGGGGTCGGCGGGCTGGGCCCGAAAGCCCCGTGTCGGGAAGTTTACAGGACTCCCACCGAAAGACGGTGATTTGTCTTGCGTTTGAATCACAGAAAACCGGCGTTGTCCTCAACGCGAGTAGCACAATTGATGGAACTTACACTGTGGATGTGGGAATGCAAAGACATGATCAAATCACACGTCTTTTCTGCTTGATTGTGTGTGGGTACAGAACCGTACTGCTTCTGGAGTTGATTGCATTCCGGGTGAGGGCTTTTCCTGCGCGAGATCCTGATTCGTTCTTACATGGCCTTGCTTCATCAACTCTGTCAATCAGATGGAAGAATGGCGCGGCATGGTGACGACGCAGAGACGACCGAAAAAGGAGGTTTCCATTCCCGGCGAATCCTTGCCGACGACAGGACTAAGGGTCCGAGACGTGAGTAAACAATCCACCGTAGGAGGTCGAAAGAAGGTGTCAGGAAGGATTGGTATACGCTAGTTGCCCACTACAAATAAAACACCACGCAGGTGGCACGGTCCTCCACCCCGGATCCTGATAGTGGCAGGTTCATGCACTGGCACCTCCGTCTTTGCCGTTCAGGGGTGTGCGGAGAAGACGTCACGGAGTCCTCCAGTGGGCACGTGCGCAGTACATACATACATGGGACACAGCACGTTTCTCGAGCCCATGTGGAAGCAGGGTGTGGCTGATATCGCCCCGAACCGGTGGTCCACCCCATCCCCAAGGCCGATTATAATGGAGCAGGGCGTGAGTGTGGGAAGGGGAGTGAGCACATTTGCAGTGTACATTGATATACCCTGGGATCTCTCCTGTGGATGTGGGGGGTGCGGCAGGGCGGATACTCATCCCCACCATTGAGCGTTAGGACGGCTCGTGGCACGTCCGGAGGGCGGTTCCTTTGGGTGCACGCCTGCCGCGGTACGCGCCCGAGATTGGCTGGGAGACTTTTTGGCAGCAGCTAGCGATCTGCCACGGCCATTCCATCCCCCCACCCCCCTTCCGCCACCCCTTCCTGAACACAATGTTAGACGAGCTCACTCAAAAACCCCTGTTCGTCTAACATTTCCCCCTGCCCCGACCAGATGTTAGACGAGCTCACTCAAAAACCCCTGTTCGTCTAACATTTCCCTGCCCCGACCAGATGTTAGACGAGCTCACTCAAAAACCCCTGTTCGTCTAACATTTCCCCCTGTCCCGACCAGATGTTAGACGAGCTCACTCAAAAACCCCTGTTCGTCTAACATTTCCCCCTGCCCCGACCAGATGTTAGACGAGCTCACTCAAAAACCCCTGTTCGTCTAACATTTCCCCCTGCCGCCGACCAGATGTTAGACGAGCTCACTCAAAAACCCCTGTTCGTCTAACATTGTCCTCCATCCACAGCCATCACCACTTCTTCTGCCAACAACATCCACAAAGCCTGCGCAACCGACGCTGCCTCCGCCACAGCCTCGTCACAGCTGCCTCTAAACAAACGCTCACACCATGGGAAACATGGAAAGTCGTCAATTTGCAGATGCGCTATTGCGAGCATGTCAAGAAATAAGCGGGGATAGCGGGGATAACCCCCCCGACCGACTGCTAGTCCCGGAGGTACCGCCATTCTCGCCCGTGCCGGAAACTCACTCACGGTATACAGTTTCTTGACGCTATAGAGGTTTTCCTCGAGCAAATCAAATCGAATTGGGACAAGCTGCCTTCTTCCGTAGCCGATATCGTCAAGAACAAATTCATCCCCCGCTTCGGCCCAACAGATGATCCAAAAAGAGATCCTGAGGCATGGGTGCAGCAACAGATCGTCCGCGAGCCTGATAACGATTTTCCGATCCACCTCTACGATGAACTCGTACCGCTCAGTCTATCCAGGACCACATTTGAGGTTGCCAAAAGAAACGTGTTGCTCGTAGCGTTTAGCAACCTACAGGCCAAGGGCGGTTCTGGTCTTGGCCGAAGCGTGCTAACGAGGTACCTCATCACAGTGAAGGAAGAGGGATCTGAAGAGGAGAAACGGAAGATCAGACAAAACTGCAACTTTTTCGCAACAGCAGGTGACCGGCTGAAAAGCTGCTTGGGTAAAGTGGGGGGCCCTGGAGCACTCATTTGCGGCCTAGCCATACCCATGTCGAAGTGAGCCCACCCTCCAAGCCAAAAGCCGCGCTCTGACCGATCATTCAGCGTGACACATCGATGGGACAAACAGTCTCTCGAGGAACTTGCTAGGTCGGTTGATCGGAAAAGTTCAGAACGGTGTGGAAGGCAAGTTGATGCTCTACTGACGTTATACGAAACGCAAGCGAGTGTCTGGGCAGACAGTCAGACACCGCCAGGGCGCAAGCGCAAACGAAAAACTTCACCCGCACCCATTGTGTACATCGAACAAGCCTCACCCCCGCTGCTGATGACAAGCGATAGACTGCAGCACATCGATACCAACTTGAGTTTTCCGAGTCGAGATCATTTTGGGGTTCAAGCTCCCCACCATCTTCAGGCTTCTCCTGCTGGGGCAAGCCATCCATCAGCTGCGCAAGGCACAGGAGGACCCTATAGTCTCATCACCCAGCCGGCCCCCGGTACAAGCGATGAGGAGCTTGTGGGCATTTCTAGTGAACCACCTTCCGTGGAGCCAGTATCTGATGTGGTCGTCCTGGTTGAGGACAACAGGTCGTACCGGGGCGTTGCAGTGAACACTGAGCAGCGACACACGACATATTCAATCGTACCTTCTCGCGAGTACTCCGGGCCTCGCCAGTGGTTTATCAACGGCGCTATTGGCGGCGAGCAGAACTCGACGCCTTACATCTATGAGTCGGGACCCCAGCGGCCGCTCGCCGTCCAAAATGTAGTTCCAGACACAGCTTTGTCCGTCATATATGCAATGAACGGTAATATTTCCGGCCTAAGGGAATTGTTCTCTCAAGGGCGAGCACAACCCGGCGACCAGAGCGCAACCCGAGGGTTTAGCTTGGTGAGGGTATGTTGCGCTATTTGCTTTTCCTTCCAAGACTTTTCCTTCCGAGACTTGTCGTAACACACGCGATTCGCTAACATCACATGAGTGGGCGCTCTATGGTGGACTGAACCAGTATGCTACAGTGCAGTACCTGCTGCAAGAAGGGGCACCAGTCGACAACGAGTGAGTGGGACGATGGCAATGATCACAGGTCGTATGACCGACGACTGAAACGAGTACAGATCGTATGACCACGTGAATGACTTTATATACCGCAAAAAATGCAACTCAGAAGAGGAAGTGGCTCTAAAACCCATCTGGAGTGACCGAAATCGAGACTGGTTTGATGACCAACACTTTCCACGGATCCACAGGATCTTGCTCGCAGAAGATCCAAATTTCAGGGTCTTATTGGTCGACGAGCTCAGGAGGCACCCGAATGCCATCTTGGAGAAGGACGCTAAGGGGCGTACGGCTTTAGACTGGGCCACAGCCAGGGCGCAGCTGAAGGTTATGGAACTCCTCATTAGAGGTAAATCAAACGTAAACTCGATGGATGAAAGTGGTCGCACCACAGTCTTGCACGCAGTTGACAGTCACAACCACGCAGCTCTTGAAATGGTCTTGAAAGCTGGCGCGAATCCCAACCCTGAAATTCGGGAGGGCTGGCATCGCAGTAGCCCGCTCACGTCGGCCAGCTTTGGCGGTTTGACAGAGATGGTCGATTTACTCCTGGAACATGGCGCCACAATCAACACACGCAATCCGGAAGGTCGAGCGGCACTGCATACGGCGATAATCCGCAACAAGCACGAAATTCTGCGTATTTTCATAGAGAAATGCGACGGTGATTGCCTGAGGGAGCTCGAGCTGCTGCCTGTCATCGCCCAACATGCGGACGAAAAAGCCATGTCGATCCTCGCAACGTCTAGCCAATTTTTGCAAGGTTTCTATCACGACTATGATGACTCGATTCGAGACTTTTTGGAACAGCGGGAGGATTACAGTTCAGAGCTACATGCAGCATTTGATGGATTACTTATTGCGGCCAGCGACAGAAGATCTTCTACGTAGACATGGAGATTATAGTGTACCATTTTCCGGGGGGCGCAGATGAAGGATCGGCCCGACCTTGTACTCAGCTCTTCAGGGTGAAGCTAAAGCGTGCCGGGATAGTTTTGGGGTATCTCGGACTTTCCAATACACTACTCTCCGGCATAACAGAGGTCTTCTATCGCATATCGCCTGCCTCGACTGAGCGGCTGGTCAGAGTCTTGAGAGCCGACTAAGATGGGGTTTCAGAAGCAATTGCCCTTGGTTTTTTCTGAGACTCTCTCTCTCCATCATGCTCCGCAAGCGGTAGAGATACGCCGAGGTAGAAACTTCGCTTATTGATGTCATTACCCTTGTAACTATTGGCCAGAATTAGTGTTACAGTATCGAGACAGTGTCGCATCCAATGTTCACAAACCCTAGAACAAACATCCCCGTTGTTTCTATATCGATAGAGATATTGTGATCAATCTCAAAGCCGTTCCAAAGCTTCCAAAAGCATCGGAGGATGAGACCGTGGGAAACCTGTAGTGCCCCCAGTGTTAGCCACTGCAACAATGAGGGAGTGTCGAATGGCCAACGCGCCCTCCACGGAATGGGGAACGCACAACGAGCACATCGCCGGGCCCATCGCCCTTCATGTGAGGCTCTTGAATCTTGCGAATCTGAACAATGAGTCGAAGTAACCGCTCAGTAACGTCTTTCTTTGACCTAAAGACCATCGAGGTATTAGCTGCAACAAGGAGGTCATTGTGTCTGTGTTCATGACCTACTCTCCGCCCTCGCATCCATCGCGCCAGATATTCCATGCGTCTTCCTTGTCTAATCCTTGTTGCTGCCTTTGACATCTGATTTGTTTGTCTGTCTTACCTTCATACTTGCCATAATCCCACTCCGCGACGTTTTTGTCGGTGATGATTTTCGCCTCCAAATTGACATCATCTGACGACGTCTTCAGCGGCGATGGTAGAAGCTTTTCGAGAGTGCGCTCCGCTCTCTTTCTCGGGCTGACAATGACGTTCGCTAGGCGAGCTGGGTCAACGAGTTTGCCTCCGCCGAACAAAAGTTCTCCAACATCGGAAGCCTGCTGTGCTCCCCGCGAGGTCAGATCAATTTCTGTAACCCCGGTGAAGCGGCCTTCTCGGGACCATTCCGTCTCTCCTAGATCCCAGATAAGTCAGGCAAAGTACTGAGCGCCAATTACTTAATGCTTACCATGTCGTATACAGAACACGCGAGGCGTTGAGGCTCCTCGATCGGACATATTGTCAAGAAACAAGATGGAGGCGCATCTAGAAAATTGACAGCAGAGGGAGAGTCCGTGAGACTGCCTTTAAGATTGATTCAGTCCGCTGAAAGATGAAAAATTCAAGAACTCTCATCGAATACTGCAAGGCGACGAAACATATGTCTCCAGTGTTTCTCCCGTTCTTTTTCCTTCCAGATTTCTTGATTGGCGGGGATACGGGAAATAGGGACGGATCAACGTATAATTCGCTGTTACCCCGCACTCATTTGTATCGTCGCCTAACCGCACTCGAACGGATACCCCGATCAAATGTCGCGGAATTTGCAAGGTTCAATCACCTGACTTTGTGCCTTTCTGAACGATCGATAACGCGGCCCTACCTGATTGGCCTAAGGTCCACTTCAGGGGCTCCCAAGCGGAGTAGGCCATAAACTGAAGAGTGCAGGGTTTGGCGCGCGTTTTGACTGGGCCGACTGGCCGACGTCGTGCTTGAGTCGTCCCGTCTTGTTAACGGCATGGCACGCGGGTGACAAACAAACTGAAGTATCCATCTCCTGAGCGCCTCGAAATGAACCGCCATTACTAAGCTGGGCCTCGTTCCGCACATACATGGTGGCAAGCAACTCCGCGCTCGCTCATGAAATGGGATGGTTGGCGATGACCTGACTATGTAGTATATTCAGCATCGTCCAGATGAAGGAAATGCCCCGCGGTAGTGTGGTGATGCTGATACACGTCGCTTGATTTACCGGGGTTCTTGACGAACCATCTGCAATATGGCGGTGAACCTCTTCAAGCCTGTCTGCGGGTCCTGTCGACTTGATGCAGGGGACTCGTTAGGCGCCGTAGTGCACGACTCCCAGCCATGACGAGTCGGCTGTACAGTCCCATCAACGCTGAGGTTAGCGAGAACGGCTGAGGCAAAGTGCGACGCCCTAAGCTAGCCGAGCTGGCACTGCTATATCCTTGGGGCTGTCACAAGCTGACGCTTCAAGTTTAAAGGCTGTTTTATCAACGAGATAGGCTCACCGTCGAGAGCAAGAGCCTTGGCCGTCAACCAAGGAGATAGGGAACAGAATGCCGGGTCTGTAGACGCTTGCGTCTTTAGCATATTATGCTCATGACGATCGATCTCTCAGCTTCAGCTCAGCATTGGGGAGTGCAGAGACCATTCCTCAACGATCTACGCCCGGGAGAATCCCCAGACTGATCGGGCTCTCTGACAAGTGCCAAGCGATGGCTTGAAGAGTTTTAGCTGGAATGGTGCACGAGCGCGCGCTCGTTGGCTGCTGCAAATTAGATGAGGAAACAACACCCTTAGCCAAATGAGCTTGAAGGGACTGAGCAAGACCTAGACTAAGCCGACGATGGAAATCCTTCTCTTATCGTCCTGACTCTTGGACCAAAAAAGTCTGCATGCGACTGCAAACGGCCTCTTTGGTCCGCCGAGTCGCAGCAGGGCCGCGTATGGAAACATGGGGAGAGCTCGGTGCAGTTGACCAGGCGCGTACCTGGCTGGCATCTTAGGTCTCCCAAATGCGATAATCTGGTTTTTTGGCCATCGAACACCGCGGAGATCCTTACGACACGTGAAACATTGTGAATGAGTGTCGCTATCAAAGCAAGCTAAACTACGTTCACAGATTCATTCAGCTGCTAGGAAGGATATCATTCGAGATCCAGTCAAAAGCTTAACAGAGAGGGGAAGAAGGGAAAGATAATTGGCATCGCATCGCACCCGCTGCCGACGCTTGCCTTGAGTTAGTCAGACATGCTCCAGAGTGACACACCTCCTTTGCTGTCCATAATTTCACTGCAATGCGCTACAACCCACAATGATTGAAACTGCTGCGGTCGGCCTGGGCATTGGATCACTCAGCTGAATGTAGTAAGTGCATACTAGGATGGCACACAAGCGGATTGCGCCTCTCCCAGCTGTAAGAGCTTTCAAAGCGGAATGGTTCCCGTATTTGAGACAATTCATTCAAGAATATCATCGTAGTTTGGCTTTGGAGGTATTTTGCTCGCGTTCAATATCAGCTGTCGAGACTAATGTTTGTTCACTCATGATTAGATCCGCGCCCGGGCAAGAGCCGGCGAGCGCATGACTACACAGAGGGCTTCGCCGCTTCGACTCACCGACTCGCACCACTTCAAGCTGAGGGCTGTAGCTGTGACACGATACGTTCCTAACCTTCTGAGTGGCCCGGCCATTGTCCCAGTGGATCCTAGGACCTTTGTGATGAGATGGTCTGATTCCTTATGCTATCTCTCTTGCGACCTTGGAGTGTAGCTTTCCAACAGCAAGCGGAACCCCCGGATTGCGGGATCCGAGATTGCGACGGAGTCCATGCGTGGGCTGACCTCGAGCAAAGAGCCGACGAAGATTGCTAGGCCATCGAGGTATCCCCTGTAGAAAGGTCTCATCAATCCGGGAAAGCGTTGTAATCTTCATCACATGATGGCGAGCACCTGTGGGAACGCCTGCAAGGATCCGAAGAGTCCGATGGGTCATGTTTACCCTCATGTTCATCAAGGAGGATTGTCTGGCTTGCCCGGCTCACAAGATAAGAAAACTTTGCCTGAGACGACGGCTTTGTATGCAATAGCATATCTCGACTTAAGCTTCTAATGACTGATTTTGGTTAACGGTACTGCTCCTCAATAGCGGAGCGGAGCGGAAGCTCGTCATGGGCATGCCACAGCAGCTCACCACACAGATAGGCCGTTGCAAATCCGCCGTTATCACGGAGCATCCCAAGTGATCGAGCTGATGGGGCCTAGCGTAGTTGACTATGGCACACTCTCTGCGCTATTTTGATGTCACAACATGGAACGAGTAAAAGAGAGAAGACGACTCACTTAAATGAAACTCGAAGATCCAACGTTTGGACTCAACTCACTCCGGGCCTGCGGCGTATGAACCCGGAATTGGGCTCGACTCGGGGGTCAATCCCAGTAGTTGCGAACCACTCATATGGATGGTATCGCGCATCGGGAGAAGGCAAGAGCTATCGGAAAAATGCGGAAATGAACCTACAGCCCAGTATCTGAGGCCAGAAATATTTCAGGGGGCTGCCGTGAAGCCGGCACTATTTGCTCTCTAGTGAATTACTTCGCAGAGACCACCTGAATCTTGCGCAACAGGAAGTTTCTCAATTGACCATCACTGAATACCAGTGTCATCCGAACATGCAAGTCCTCTTAGTCGTGATTGATCTCGAGACTGAGATCTCACGTCATTTTCATTGAGTTGGGAGGGTGATTGGCAGTCGCCACCAGGGCAGAGCGCAGCCGTCTGTGAAATGTTGGGCTGACCATATCACCCTCATATGACGGTTGCTCTCTGTTGGGCCACTGAATTGATCAGCACACTTCAGGACAGGCAACCCTGCACACTCGATTCCGAATGGATCCATGATAGCGGTGGGGAAATTCGAGAGAAACCTATTTTGGAGCCAAAATAGGGGGAGCAAATTGAATGGATCAGGTATAAGATGGCTCGCCCTTGCAAGAGTTCATGCTGCAAACGTCTGTTTCAT